CCAACTTTTTTACTCTTTGACCTACTAGAAGGCCGTGTTGGCCGTGTTACCGCGGCTTGAAAAACATAAAACGTGAACCGTGTGGGTTCATAAAATGGAATGTTACCGTTTGCAACGGGAGATGAATAGGGAACTAAATTTTCTTCCAATTGCACACACAACCTTTGGTGTTCTCTCTGTAAGAAACTCTCCTGAAAAATGCAAAAACTATTGGCAGCTTAGCCTGCCACTGATCAGAAAGGATTTCACTACTCCTGATCATTTCCAATGGACCTATTCCCTAATGAGCAAAATTTTGATCTAGACAATCATTTCACCACAGCTTGAAAGAGCATCACAAAATTAGTAATATTCCGAAGTTTCGTTGCGAAATGTTGTAAAATGCGGATAATATGGCACTGCGAAATTTGCCGTTTTTCAGTCATTTTGTATTACGCACGGAAAATTGATACCGCTTTCTGAAAAAAAGGTATCAATTTCCCGTGCGTAATACAAAATGACTGAAAATCGGCTAACGTCGCAGGGCTATATTATCCGCATTTTACAACATTTCGCAACAAAACTTCGGAATGTTACTAATTTTGTGATGCTCTTTCAAGCCGTGATAAAAATTTTGTCTAGACTTGTCTAGATCAAAATTTTGTTCATTATAGGTAATAGGTCCATTATCATTATTACACCCCTGGTATTTGCTTGTATCACTTATTACAACCATATACTGTATAGGCCCAATCTCGTTCCCCGAGCCTGCGATCCTCGGGACGGAATGAGAGGCTCCGGGATAATCCGTTGCCGGAAGCCAGGAATCCTGGCTAAGATTGAACTACGCATTCCATTTCAACGGCCAATCAGATTCCTCCCTGAAACGGATTATCCCAGAGCCTCGCGTTCCTTCCGAGGATCGCAGGCTCGGGGAACGAGATTGGTATAGGCCTAGTGTGTTGTTGGCGAGCATAACGGGGACCGTGCATTTAGCTATGTTGTGTTAATTGGAAGGTAACCGCTCTGAAATTTAGAAATTTTCCCAAATTTTAAATCTTGGATAGGTGAGCATGTAAAATTCGGCACTGAAAATGATGTGCCTGACAGTGGCCTGCTTTCTGAAGCCTGATATATAGAAGTCTAATTTATACAATTCCAAAATTTTGCTTTATACTTTACTAGCTCTTCATTGCAAAGGGCTGTTTTTTTACAAACTGTACATTAGAACGACTTCATGAAAGGCAAATGTGAAGTACACTTTATGAACTGTTGTAGTAATAAACAATTGATTCTATTCTAATCTGATCTCTTCTTTTCCACAATTCATTTAAGGTTCATTTTTTACATTTCTTTTCTGTCAACCTAGAAAATCGCTTGGACCCAACGGTCATGTAGTCCGTTTTTTAGTACGTGTGGTCCTCATTGCGATGGAATCACTTTAAATTAAGCACACCAGTTTTACAATGGGCACAAAATCGACATTATCCGTCGGATGGCCGTTCGTTTCGGGAAAATTGAAGCGTTATCTCCTGAATTCTACGATAGCTCTAGTGAAGTGCTTAAATTAGGCGCAGTCGTTTCAGTTATGGCTTTCAATATTTTCGTTTGTTTATTTTTAGTGCCAAGTTTAGTGCCATTGAAACCGCAGAAGCCTTACAATCCCAGAGAGAATCACAGCCCAATAGACGTCTGAACATACATACGCCGACTTGTATACAATTGTATATAGAATGGTATATGGTGATACAATGGTATGCTGGTGGCGTGCAATGATTTTAGAATTTGATTCGTACAATGATGCTCAGCCTTAAGATGTTACATTTATAATAATCTTTATTGTATCATACGGTTATTTAAAATCTGTTCGTAGCTTTTAGTAATTTTTACTTGGAAGATTCCGTTGTTGTTTAAACCTTTTTAAACCGGTTCTATGCAGCAAGTATCACGATGTTTATGTATTTTAATGCCGGTTTCTTCTTTCAAATTATGTTAATTTTGGTAAAACATATAGTTATTTGCTATGACAACACGCGCGTACGAAATTCACTCTATAAAAGAGCTTGTATTTCTTCGTGTAATAATTCGTGCACTAATTTACTTAAAATAGAGACTAACTGTAAGCATGCAGAATGTAAAAAATTCTGTAATGTCGTTTTCTTTGATAATTTTTTTTGGCATTACAAATATTTTTAGTTTTGGTATAATGAGGGAAATAGTGCATTGTTTCTTTTTTCAAAAAGTGCAGTTTTTAATGACGGAATGCAACGCGCTATACAACAAGCGCACGAGAGCCACTCGCCTCGTCATGCCATATTGCCATACTAGAAGTTCTTTCCTTAATATTCTTGCGGACACGAATGATCACGTGCATGGCACATTACCGTTGTATTCCTAAACTCAATAGACAGTTTTAGATCGAGGGCGCGGACGTCAATGACGACGTGACAATTGCGTGTGAATTGTGCCCATGTATGGATATGCCACGCCATTTTCACGTCATCTTTGACGTCCGCGTCCTCGATCTAAATCTGTCTAATATCGAAGAAGATTTGTTACCCAAATTTGCATGAAATTGAAAGATATTTGCTAACATTACCATACACAGAGAAACTTCGATAGTTTAAACCAGGCTTTAGCCAAAATTTTATACTGGTATATATACGGATTATAGTTCACTATTCTAGCCGCCGAACTATCACGAAGCATCGATCTTTGTTGGTTATAACAACTGTAATATCACTAATTTGAAAATTAGGACTCGATAGCACATTCTTTTGAATTCAATGAGCCAATTAGTGAATCCAGAATATATACAATTAGAAGAGATTTTTAACTGCATTAATTGTTGCGTGTACTGGTACTTTGTATGTGACTTAGTGTTTTCTACTCAAAAAGTCGCATTTTTCTTCTTCCCCAGAAAGAAACCATGCAATAAAGCGTTTTACGTGTAATCCGCTTGCAGATTTTTCGTGTTTTCATTACCTTATTTGGTAAAATCAGACCATTGTCACATGATGATAAGTATGATTTTGACTTAAATGTATATTAGCTTCGTCTCCAGGTTCAAACTTAGGGGCTGTTTATATGGTCCCGCTTACCCGGGATTCAATGAAGTGTGAAGTATTTTGAGCAATTAAAATACTTTTTCAGCCCTAAACAAAAGTTATAGATAACTTTAAATATTGTTTAAACGAAATTAGGAACGTGCTAGAAGTTATGTAGTGGAATAAGACGATTAATAGCATTCAATAACATTTGTTTTTTGTCTAAAACATGGAATTTCATACAATTTGTAACAAGTAATTTTGTTAGATCATGCATGAAGTGCGACTTATTTCAATTGCTCAAAATACTTCACACTTCATTGAATCCCGGGTAAGCTCCCCCATGCATATAAACAAGTTTGAGTACTTCTGGATCCTTGAGATTTGTTGGAAATACCAGTACACGCATGGACGCCATAGCATGCCTATATTGTTTACATACCAATTCGTTAGGTGTTTCAATTATTATGGAGCGAGTACTCAATGTCTTTTCCTTTTTAACTGAGGCTTGACGCAGCCTTATTGGTATGAGCTCAAATATTATTTCATTAAGAAAGAGAAGCCACTGCTTACCAATATTTTTATGTAGACAATACGTGTCTGTCCTACCAATAAACCAGGGGTGGAAAAATATTTTACTTCCTGGGACCGCAAGAGAAAAAAAAAACCCAAGTAAATTGACACTCGGACATTGTAACTGTGTGATGATGTTGTCAAACTGAATGTCATGCTATATTTAAATTAACAGAAAAAAAATTCATTGCACTCTCATGCATGAGAATCTTAATAATGCTAAAGAAGGCACTACTATAGGGGGCACTACCAGGGGAATGCATGCTCCCCCAGAAAATTTTGAAAATTAGGCGTTCCAGATTAGCTAAAAATGCATTTGCCATACAACATTTGTTACACTATTCTATAGTCTATACATTTACACACTATTGCAGTATTAAGATGGATGCACTTATAATAATTATTGAATTTCTGAGGTCATACCCACAGTACAGGTAGCATTCGTTTTATTAGTTAGAATTTTTCCTCTGAATTTCTCCTTTTTATCTATTAAATTGTTACCATTATCTTTTTTTTCTTTCTTGGGGAAATACTTTCTGGGAACTCAATTGTGGTCCCATGGTCCGATACTTTTTCCACCCCCGCAATAAACATGCAGTAACTGTTGGAATCTCTTCTAACGCATCAGCAAGACCACTGTAGATTAATGGTGGTCATACAACTATACGGCCGCTATTCGCTTCATTTATGCATTGCATGCGGATGCTTTATCCAGTTCTTAGATCAGTGAGTAATATATTTGTGTAGTTCTTGTAAGTGTAATGACCATTTGCTATCCAAAATATTGAGTTGATTATTAAAGAATCAATAAATATAATGCATGTGCGTTTTAGTGTTTTGTGAATGTTAAACTTAGCTGCGAATTAAAGCATGGAAACTGGCTGTAGCTGCTGTTCGCGTGTACATGCAGAGCTCTGCACCTATCAATGTTTCCCCCTTTGTATATATCGGATAAACATTTATATTTTTAAATTAACGACTTATTATATAACTAGCCTGGCTTAATTTGTTCAGTATATTGAATTAGTGCATGACCGCGCCTAAATGTCAAAAACAATTATTGCCATAAATGGTTATCTTTTCATGTCACGCAATCACGAAACCTAATCCAATCCCTATCCCTAACCCTATATGTAACATAACGTTTTTACCCCTGATCTTATATGTAACACGACTCGTGCTGGAATTCACTTGAAAATATTACGTTACTTCCTCTGTCATTAAACATTGCGTCATTATGTTTGCCCCTATATTTAACATACCCCTATCAGTAACATACCCCTATATGTAGCTAACATCACGTTGCCACCTCATATGGCAAAAATGCATATTAATAATTATTTGAATTCTTAATAAAAAGTTATAAAATCACAAATATTAATATTATTTTTGGATCAGGTTTTGCAGTGAGGATGTCGAACAGCACTACTATTGTATGGACAAAGAGCGACTTAATAAAAGCGGAAGAATTACTGAATCAAACTCTTCTAGCACACAGATACTTCTTCTTATCATCATCTTCACGGTTTTGGGAAATACTTTGGTTTTGGTTGCGACCTGGAGAGAAAAAAGACTTCATCAACCTAATAAGTATTTCGTTGCTTGTCTCGCTGTCGCAGATCTTTTGGTTGGTATACTCCTCGCTCCGACTAAGTTGTACAAAGATTATCAATCTTACGAATGGCTACCCTCCATTCATTTTTGCCGTTTTATGGCTTGGATAGATACCGTCGCGTTAGCAGCATCGATTTATACACTGACGTTCATCAGTATTGATCGATACGTTAAAATCAGTAAGCCGCTACAGTATAAATCACGAATGACAACATCAACATCAGTTAAAATAATTTTCAGTGTTTGGTTGATTTCATTTGGCTTGGGCACTTGTATTTTGAGAAGAAGCAATGGTATTTTGGGAAGAAGCAATGGTATTTTGGGAACTGGTGACAGTTCATGCAATAAAGAAAATAAGAACTTTTACATTTTTCTGGCAATAATTGCATTTTTTCTACCTATTGTTGTCATGATGGTTATGTACGTTCTGATTTATATTGTCACACACAAACGACAAAAAATGTTACGAAATGGCCAACTGGGGCAAATGTTAAACGATCAGAACCAGCGAGCAACCTTTCTTCAAGATCTTAAAGTTATCCGTCTATTTTTGCTTGTCATTGGAGTATTTATATTTTGCTGGCTTCCTTACTTTGTTTATTTGTTCTACATATTTGATCATCCAAATTTTTTTGATCCCGATATCTATAGTGCACTCAATATAAGCCATTGGTCTTGGGTTTTGATAAGTACAGCAGTAGCATCTGTGCTTCCATTGTTTAACAGTCTGTGCAATCCAATAATTTATGCTTGTCTTCATGACCAAACGTACAAGAAAGCTTTCAATGATCTGTTTAAGCGAATATTATGTCGGGCAAGGCGAGAACCACCAAATTTAAACGAAATTGAGTTTCGTAGTCAAATAAGAACATGATAGGGGTTGGGGCCGGCGAGGAGCGGAAAAGGAAAAAGTTGAACATGCACGATGAAAAGGACGGAGTACGAAGTCGGGCGGTGCAGAGTTCGGAGTGTGAAGGGTCTAAAAAGTGTTTCTTTAAGCGTAGCATTTGCTTTTAACTAGACTCAGTCGTCTGTTCCACTTTATCGAGGCATCAAATCAAATCCACTATATTTCATGAAGGTAGCACCAAACAGTTTGTCAACCGATAAACAAGTGGCCCTCCTATACTACGAATGTATACGAGTTCATGTATATACAGCTATTTCAATTAAGCTTGTCCCGGAGCAAAGCGGAAAAGTCGAATACGAGCGCGAAAGGCTTGCTGGGAATCGCTAAAATATTCATTAATTTTTTAGCGATTCCCGGCAAGCCTTTCGCGCTCGTATTCGACTTCTCCGCTTTGCTCGGGGACAACGTTAATGGGCGAAAGTTTGGCCGCGAAATGTTGTAAAATGTGGAAAATATAGCCCTGCAAAATTTGCAAATTTTGTATTAATTTGTATATTCCGCAGGGGAAAATGCACCACATTTGGACCGATTTGTTCTTTTTGCTTAGATCAAAATTAATTTAGTCCATAGCTGGAATCATCTATTATTATTATTATTATTATTATTATTATTATTATTATTATTATTATTATTATTATTATTATTATTATTATTATTATTATTATTATTATTATTATTATTATTATTATTATTATTATTATTATTATTATTATT